GTGAAATCAGGTTTGTGGGGAGGAAGGGACTCTTATCCAAACTGAGAATCTGATATCTTTCATCGAGGCTGAGAAAATATGCCACTTTTACTAATTTGGATTCTTCTTGTGTCACTGAATAAACCCTAGACATTAAAACTGGAAAACTTTCAGAATCTTCTTAACTCAGTCCTATTAAAACTCTGGAATACACTTCATTTTTGAGTAAAAAAAAATAAAAATCTAGGATCAAAAATTATAACGAGGTTTAAGTGAGGCTGCCAGGAAAGACAAAAATAAGAGTGAAATGCTGATCTTATTTCACCAGTAGAAGTCTACAGTAACTTCAATGCAATTGATGCATTCTACTGGATTCCAGCTGGGTTAACTGAGATCAGCATCTCAGGAAAAGGTAGTATTCAGTGGTGAAGAGCTATGCTATTTTGAGAAAGTAGAAAAGGGAAACTTTCAGGACTTCTAGTCAATAGACTTACTCAATCTGCACATTCACCCAAATCAGTAGATTGTCTAACTGCTACTGTTTATAAGGCACTGTCATTTCCAAACTACTGTTTACCCTCCCAAATTACCATTTTTTTTTAATGAGAGGAGGCATCTCAACTATGGAAACTTCAAAAAACATACTGTGCTAAAGAAAAGAAGCTTAAATGAACAAAAGTGAAATGTAAATAAAATTAATGGTCTTACTTAAAGCCACAAAACCATAGAAACCCAGTAAAGCCTGAAAATCCAGCTTGAAATTGTGTGGCTCGCAAGTTCGTGTGCCTTTTACTCATTTGGATATCTTTTTATTTTATTTTTTTTTCTTAAAAAAAAATAAGGGTACTTCTAATTACAAAATGTCATGTAAGCAAAATCCTATTTCCCACTAATTTTTAAAATTGCATGTTTTGGTAATGAATATTATACTACAGGAAAAAAAGACACATTCCCAGGTTAAGTAAGAATACAAAAATATTAAATTATATAAAGGATTATATAAAGTTTATCCAGCCCTCACACACAGAGGAGCCTAATGCAGAGCTTCTTGCATTCAACGCATACTTCTTAAATAAGAAAAAGATTTGTCCTTGAGGCAAATTAGCTGAGTGGTCTGGCATTGCCTCAATATTCTGTCATGCCTTTCTCTCTTATATATCCCACTTCTTCCAGCTTCCTTATAGCAGAGGCAAGACTGGCTTTTTTGAACAGGTAGTTTCTCCATCATCTAAGGTACTGGTCCCCAAAATGGGGTGCACGTATCCCAAGAGAGGGGCAAAAGAAATTCAATTGGAGTGCAGAAAGAAAATTTGTTTGTACTATTAAAAATTAAAATTGTATTTATTTCTTCTTTTATTTCATTATTTTTTATTGTCTATATCAGGATATATTTTAGAATGTACTCAATATATTAATACACTAGCACACCTGTGAAATTTATAAATAAATACATATCTATACATATAATATACATATATCTATACATATAATATAAGGGTGTCTACTGAAAAATATTTTACTGATTTTTAAAACCTAGTGAACACATAAAAAAGTAAAAAATACACTCACCCATAAACCCAGCCTGAAAAAATATGTCTCCAGGAACTGATATTTCTTCATCTTGGCTGAATTTGACCTATTGTCACTCAACATTCTAGAAAAATACAAAGGTACCTACACCTCATTCCATCATACTAGACATTTAGCTTCACTAGACCTCATGCTGTACACTTTTAAATGCTCTTGACCAGCTTGTATAAAAAACTGAATTTCTGTTCAACACACTAGTTATCCAAAAGTCTGAAAAAAAAACATTCAAGACACATTACAGAATATGTCAGTTCATCAGAGGGCTTCCCTTTTACTGTATAACACAGGGGATAGCAGAAGGTCAAACCATGAATGTTGAAAAACTCTGACAGTGAGAAAAGTAAAAAAGCATTCTATTTCCCCAGTCTGTGACATTCTCTAGACACCTTTTTTGGGTTCACAAAACTTACTTTTTTATTATTATTCAGTCCTGGCACCACTCAGCAATCAGATGCTGCATTTAAATTTAGACAACACACATGCCTTTGCAATACTGCTTACAATAGAGGAGCTTTGAGTAACAGTGGTTCACCTCTACTAAAAGGTTGATTTATTTTAGCCATTTGTGAAATTTTACCTGTGCAATTTTACAACTAGCCACACCTGTGCACGATCCTCTTTCAATCTCCTTTTTTTTTAAAAGAAAAAAACTATGTAAAGTGAACGTAAGTCATTTTACTTGATGTAATGCTTGTATGGTAAGATAGAAATTTGCCAGTTGAGGACTGGCATCTAATAGACTAGTTAAGAGAGAGAAAAGAGAAAGCCTTAAGAGAGATTAAGAAAAATAAACACTTTAACAACTGCAGCTGTGAAGTAACCTCTTCTCCCTATTACTTCTATGGGCATGTACTTACTCCCTGCTGCTGCAGAGTAGAAGACAAAAGGTTTTTCTAGCTAAACTATAAGTATTTGTGAAATACTAGGAAATTCTTGTATTTGTCTTATTTTAAATAAGATAAAGCATTTGGAAGCCAAAGATTAAGCAATATAAAATATGGGAGAGCAAATCCATCTCCTACATAATAATTTATGATACATACAAGCTCACATTGCTTCAGCGGATTGTTGAATTAAAGTTCATAGAGTGCAAAATACCATAAAATAGAAAGACAAATTCCAGAGAGCATTGCCTAACTTCATGAAAATTAATTTATCAGGAGTTTACAGTATGGAAAGTTCTTTTTGACTAAGTATATTGACTGTGGATAATTTTCTATTACTGTTCTGTAGAAAAGCACTACCAGTTTGGATGAGAAATAGAAAACTTAAAACCCTTTGCCTGCACATCTTCCCTCTAAGATTCCAGCTAGCAAATGCTTCTTCAAAATTTCTTGCAAAAGGTAGGAGAGACCACCAAGTGTTACCATTTAGTGCAAAACTTGCTATACTTTCTTCTGAGTGCAAGTTCTTTTCACTCAGAAAACACACACAGGAATTCAAGTTGTCATCCAAGTCTGTAACTGTGCTAGTGCTGTTTGTAATATTCTGTTGAAGATGACAAATTTTTCATTTGCTTTCCTGGAGTATTGTAAAATATGTCCCAAATTATCCCTGAAATACCTGATAACTTCCCTGAAGTTACAACAGGAGTAATTTCAGTAAGCAACTACTGACTGACAAAATGATGGATAAATACCATCAATCTGACTGTCAGCAGAGGTGTATTTACAAAAAAGCTTCAAATATCTAAGGATTTATGTGGCATATATGGTTCTTCCTGAACTCTGTGAGCTGCTAAAGAGTAAAATTGCAAGTCAAGCATCCCTTTTTTTGTGAAGGAAGAAAATCAGAGATGATTTGGTAAGAGCTGTGAAACTCACATTCCAAGGTGAACTTTTAGTGTAAATCAGCCTTTCATCTCTTAGTAAATACAAATGTTCAGTATCTTAAATGAGAAGCAATAATGCAGAGTGAGTACCTCACCCATTCAACTCTGTCTCCCACTGTCTCTTTCATAAAGTAATCAAGATCAAAAAACTAACCAGATTTTCTGCTGCATTACTAGTCCTTCAGAAGTCTGTTGCCTCACTGCTTTAATAGTTGAAAACCACTTTACAGCTCCTAGGCGAAATTAATTCAGGGTAGTTCATACCTATTTATCTTGTGCCAAAACTGCCATGGAGGAAAACAGTTTCTCTTCCTCATGGTCTCAGAGGAGCAGTATTACTTCTGAACCTATTTTTTGTCTAAATGAAGCAAACACTAGCTGCCTTCTCCCACAGAGTAGCTGCTTGCCCTGATACATCAGTGCTAGTTGACTTCTCCTGTGTATCCATTTTCCTGAACACAGATGACCAGAACTGTACTCATGGTTCTATATAAAATCCAGAAAAAATAACAGGGCTAGTTAAACCACTCTGAACGTTTTGCTTCCTTTCCTTTTCCTGTCTGTCCATCCCATCATACTTGGTCAGATACGTTTTTTGGGTCACACTTGCCATTTTTAAAGCCATAGTAACTGGACAGCTTACTGTTAATCCTATTATCTACTTACTTCTATGTAGAACACACCATACAAACATATATGGCATAATAACATATCATTCATATTTCTTACTTATTTTAGTTATACCTTGATAATTGAATTTGTTTCATGACAGAGAGTGTTGAGATGTGCTTCATCAATACACATTACACTGATGGCATGTTTAGTTCAGAATTATTGTTTAGATGTTTCTCTGGGTGGCTAAACTGAAATATTCTTAATGACACAAGAAAATCTGCCCACAGTTTTTGCTTGTTTCTGGTTCTTTACAATAACTGACAGTGATTCACAATTCCCTCATAACATGCAATATCACTAAACCTGCTACAGCTCAAGTTATTCAAACACATTCAAAGGTCATTTAAAAAATTAAGCAAGTCTAATAATTTTTGTCTAACTCAACTATCTGGAGATAAGCTCAGTCACATGCTTACAAAAAGTGTGAAAAAATTACAAATCCAATAAACACCAAGGTTTGTTCCTACCCGAGAGTAAAATAAAATCATACAATTCTGAGGTAAACTAACAAGGGTTCTCTTGGAAAAAAGTAAGTAGATGACACATTTTTTTGACTGATTCAAAGACAGAGGCAAATTTTCCTTGGATTTGGCTAGAACAAGGATTATGAAGCACAGGCCAAGTTACTCTGGGCCTACTTGCTTACTTCTTTTGTATGACAACAGCAAGGAAAACTTCTAGTAAGTAAATATGACTGCCTTTAAACTACTGAGAAAAATGAGCCTTACTTTATCTGACTATCTCCCAGGACCCATATTTACATACACTCTTCCAAAGTCAAAGACTTTAGTCAATGGCAAGTCAATATAGCGATATCTAAAAGATACATTGTTTTGATACAGGGTAAGAAATTGCTTTCTAATGTACTGCAGTGAATAAGTAATGCACTGGAATGCCTGAAACCAAATTTATCTGTTTCACTGACCTTGAAGCTGGCGTCCTTTGTACAAATCCTTTGTTTTGGTTGGGTGAGCTCTGGCACCATTATCACACTTAGGTTGTTCATACCTAAAGAACAAACAGGGAGAGGAGAAAACCAGTCAAGGTTAATTTGATTTAGAAGAAATTTACTTCCAATTTTGTAGTCCAAATTAAATTTGTACCTTCTTTTTTTCTTCAGGGAACAAGCTTGTTTGTCTTTCAGAAGGAGGGGTGTAAATTAATTTCCCTATTTTTCATTTACCTCAAAGAAGCCAGCATACCTTTAGGCTCCTGGAGATGGTATTAACTTAAAAAATGTATTATCTATTCCAAATTCCATTCTACAGGGAGGAAAACTGGGGAAGGAGAAAACTGTGGGGAATTGCTATAAAGTAATACATGATAAAAAATAATTTAAAAAAAAAACACAAAAAAGCCAAAAAACCAAAACCAAAGTCAAGCTCTCCTCTCACCTAACAAATAAAAAAGTGATAAGCAATATGGTAAATTCTGACATCTGACACAGTATTAATGTTGGGAAAAAACAGAAAAGTAATTTCAAAATCACAGCAAGGCAAGAACCATAGTTAGTTACTACTGCAGGTCTAAAGACATGTACTACTATATCCTCTCCAAAAAAATGTTAGTTTACATAAGAAGGGCTAACCATAAACAGTGAACATTTTAACAAGAGTAAAGAATTGATAGTTTCCAGAAGGAAGGGAATTGGACTGTAACAGCTTAAAATGGATTGGGAAAAACACTGAGCCTCTATCTGCTACAGAATATTCTGGTTCCTCTATATTTTCTGAGATTACTTAAAAGCACTTTGGTAGTCTAGCTGCTAAGAACAAATTCTGCGCTATTTGTATTTCTAAAACATTGGCATATGCAACATTACTGGAACTTTCTTTTATGCAAGATTGGGAGGCATGGCAGCATCTGCTGCTGAATCTGTTTTTTCTTACAATCCCACTGTTGATGCGTGGTGAATTTTCAGTCATTTTGACAGAATCTTTCTGAGAAATGCTACCTTCTAATTTTCCTAAAGTAGCTTGAAGCTTGAAGAATTAAGTGTGTAGCATTTCAAAGAAACTTGCAATTCTCAGCTAAAAACATAGTAACATGACTGGTGCCGAAACAAGTGTTTGCACATACATACCTGTTCACTGAATGTAGGTTCTTTCATGTTTTATACAACTGCTCATCTTTCTCTGAAATTCTCCTATTCTAGAGTTCCCAAAAAGACATTTACTGAGTAGCACACTAAAATTAAAATATACTAATCCAAATTTTTGGAACAAAATACTTTTTAAAGCATTAATTAAGTTGTGACTGTGTCCTGGATCCAGGCCAGACCACCCTTCAGAAAAATACCTAAGTATTGTGACCTTCATTACCAGGTGGAGTGAAAAACAACAAACAAACAAAAATTTCCTTTGATTGCTTAATTTATTTCCACGTCATCTAACGTAACTGTCCACTGGCCCATCAGATTCTGGTTGCTGCAAGAAGGTACAGTGTTGTTTCATGGACATGGGAGAGCTACAAGCACTTTTTCCCCTAAAGAATGGCACAAATAGAAGCTGCATTGATAGCATAGGTTGGATTCAGACACCTGGTGGATGACCACTTTAATCAGCGAGGAAAAGAGTGAAAGGGCAATCTCTGAGCAATACTCACTAATGCAGTATCTGGCAACCAGCCTGGTCCCCAGTTAATCTGATAGCTGACTCTACATCCCTCTCGTCTTCTTCCATTATTGTTACTGCTCTGTGCCTACACTTTCTCTCTTGGCTTCCACTCTTCTACCTTTTGGCTTATATTGTTGTTACATATATGTGTAGTAGTTCATCGCATACAAAAAAATCTACTAAAGTCTAACAGGTGTTAAGATGTTAAAAAAAAAGCATGTTAATGCAAGAAAAGTCTTCACTCTTCAAAAGAAGAAAAGTCTTTAACTCTTCAAAGCAGTTGAAGATTAAATGAATCATTAAAAATTTACCACCCAGGCACAGCGACACTAAGAACTGATAAGACAAGCACACCTCAGTTTTCATGGGAAAAGAGAGGGAAAGGGATAACATGTCAGAATGGAGCACTGTCAGGTTAAAAATAATGTAGTCAAAAGACGTTCTAAGTTACTCTTTTGAATTTTAAAAGGGAAAGAATCCCTTGCAGTGAATGTGTATCTAAAGCTGTCAAAAGCCTATGAAGGCCTCCTTTAAGCAGCCTCTAAGCAGTCTGCTGGGACACAGAGAGATTCACTGAGGTATGCAAAGCAGTGGAAGATGGAGAGTTTCACAGGCATTCTCCAGCATGGGCAGCCTCATGAAGCAATTGATTTATGCTCTTTCTTAAGTTTAGAGAATCTTTTGCAAGTGGATTGGGCATTACTTTGCCCATGATCCTAGTTGCTAAAAAGTCACATGAGAATACAGATTTACGTGTTGCTGAGCAAAAAGGCTGAGAGTTCTGCTATGTTGTGCAGGAAGCATTGGGAGCCAGCTGGTACCATACCAACATTCAGGGGAATGTTTTTGTACCCTTTTAGTTACATTACCTGCATTTGGTCAAATGGATGTTTCCTTTTTGACAGCTTCACCTATTTAAGTTTTACTGTCTTACATGTTCCAGAGTTGTGCTTCATTCACATATCTTTATTTTAACTAGAATTATATCAGGTTTTTTTTCTGGAATACCTTAACTGACAAATTATTTATCTTTGCTTCAGATGACAGGATATTGAAAGGCTAATGAGTATTAATAACTTCTCTTCATTTTTGAGGTCTAATTTAATGGGACTACTATTTATTGTGATATTCAAAGCTTGATGATAAGACAAATTTCATCCTCATGAATGTATTGAAAACAAACAACGTGCAATACAATAAGCTTCTCTGGCAACAGCTTCCCAGATCTGTTTATCCTTTCACTGTTGTCCCCTAGTGATTCGATCCAGATTTGCAGAATAGAGGTTGCAGGATGCAATGGGTTCATCTTGCTACCAGGAGTAGTAATGCTATCAGTTCCTGCAGTAGCAGTTTATCAGCTACTCTTCTAACTTACATTTTGCAATGGAAAGCTGCAAGACAGCATACACCATTTTGTAAAGCTCCCATCCTTCAAACTAGAAAAGACTCACTTGTTCACATTTTCTATTCTGTAAGAAATAATTTTAAAATGACAACTGCATATTTTTCATTGTATTCTGGTCCCCTATCATTTCCCCCTGCTAGGGGAAAAAGTTTAATTATATCAAGATAGTTAAAAAAAATAAAATCAAGGAATAAACTGTGGGACTCCAGTGCACCTAAATCTTTCCTAGAAATGAGGTCTAGACACTCCTCTTGAACTCCAGGCAGTAATCCCACCTGCTTGTTTACCAGCACTGTGGATTTCTAAATGTACTGGTTGTTCTTGACTTAGTATGACACTCCTAAAATTGAGTACTGTACTTACCCACCTGTGCTTAGAAATGTCCTTTCTGGGGATATTTAAAAATACGACTTCCTCAGAGCTCTGTTGAGAACTCCCCAGAAGTCCAGCAAAGCTTAAGAAATTAGAAATGGAAAAGACCACAGCAGTTGATCTTTCGAGTATTAGCTATCAGGCAGAGCACTCTTTGAACTAAAATGTTTGTGTCTAGATCATACTCTTGGGAAGGTGATGAAGGTATCTTCCTAGAAGCTATTTCAAAACACATGAAGGACAAGAATGTGATTGAGAGTAGCCAGCACAGATTTGTGAAGAGGAAATCATGCTTGGCCAAGCCTGTAGCCAGTGGATGAGCAGAGAGCAGCAGATATTGTTTATCTTAATTTTAGCAAGGCTTTTGACACTGTCTCTGATTACATTCTCATAGACAAACTGATTAAGTATGTGTTACATAAACTAACAGGGAGGTGCACTGAAAACAAGCTGAACTGCTAGTCTCAAAAGAGTTGTGATCAGAAGCAAAAAATCCAGCTGGAAGCCAGTCACCAGTGGAGTGCCCCAAAGTTCAATACTAAAGCCAATATTGCTTAATCTCTTCATTAATGACCAGGATGCTGAGACAAACAACTTCATCAAGTCTGCAGATGCCACAAAATTGAGAGGAGTGGCTGATATACCAGAAGGTTGTTCTGCCATTCAGGTGGACCTCAATAGGCTGGAGAAATGGGCTGGCAAGTATTGCATTAAGTTAAAAATAAGGCAAATGCAAAATTCCTGCACCTGGGGAAGATTATCCCCCTGTACCAGCACAGGACAGGGGCCAACCAGTTGGAAAGGAACTTTGTACCAAGATCCTGAGATTTCTGATGGACATTAAACTGAGTATGAGGCAGCAATGTGCCCTTGTAGCAAAGGCAGAAAACAGCCTTCTGGGCTGCATTAGCATTGCCAAAAGGTGAAGGGAGATGAACCTTCCCTTCCCCCTGCTGAGAGCCCAGCTTTGGGTTCCCCAAACAAGAGACATGGATGTCCTAGAGTGGATCAAGCAAAAGACCATGAATATGATTAAGAAACTGGAGCATTTGACATAATAAGGAACAGGAGAGAGAAATGAGACAGTTCAGCCTGGAGAAGAGAGGCTCAGGGAAGATCTTACCAATGTCTAAAAATATCTGAAGGGGGGAAAATAAAGGAAACTAAGTCAGATTCTTCTCAGTGATGTCCAGTGTCAGGAAAAGAGGCAATGGGCACAAAACAAAATACAGGAAATTTAATCTAAATTGAGAAAAATTGAAATGAGAATTTTTTAATATTTTTTTTTTCCAAAAATATTCAAAACCCAATAGGTACTCAAAACCCAACAGGACATGGTCCTGAACAATTTACTCTAGCTGACCTTGCTTTGAGTACGTAGCCTCTGGAATACCTAAAGGACATTTTTAGGTCCTCACATATTTATACTGACCCTACAGTTTCAGGACTAAATTTGGACTATTTTGTTTTGACAATTTATGGATCTTGACTTGCCAGAAACAGCAGAACAGTAATTTTAAGTCATGCCCAGTTCAGGTGGTACTGTAATTAGTATGGTCTAGACCATAGTATAACAGCTATCAGTACTTGGAGAGTATGTGAAAAACACTCCCCAATAATATAATACAATACTTTACAGCAAGTGGCTTATAATGTGGTGGGGTTTTTTCACAAGCCTTATGCAAATCAAAACCAAATATTTTGGCTTATGCTTGCAAAGATTTATAATTGCATGAAGATAGTAATAGTGTCCATCATCTTTATATTAGTTTTTATAGCATTCCTTCAAGGGCCAAACCTCAATAACCAGACTAAATAACATCTTTAGGAACCCGATACCCACTTTGCCTACATCTGCTCTATGTGGCTAACAGCACTTTGCCATGTATCCAGCTCAGCTGAGACAACGGAACTCCAAGCTTCTATTAATAACACACTAAAATGATATTTCCTCTCCATGGGTTCCCAAGCAGTTGTTCCATCAAAGTGAGTCATATGAAATAGTTGCTGGAAAAATTACTGAGCATTTCTGAGGCTGGATGTGGTTTCTGTCATAGACCATCTCATTTGGTTCTTCCGTATGCAGGCTAAGAAGTGTGAAGTTTCCTCTGGGCCTATTAATGATTTTCTCCAAGTCTTTGCTTCCTAGCACAGAACAGAAAGTAATGAAGAAGAGCAGGGGAGCAAACTGCCTCTGACATTGCAGTGAAACAGTCTTTGGCCATCTGTCCTTAACTTTTTATGGCTCTTACAAATATATCACTTTGTCTTGGTAGTGGAAGAAACATATATGATATAATTCCACCAGCAACAGAAATCTGTATGCTAGTAGCACACTAAGGCACCTTCGCACTACAGCTTCTGAACACTGAACTTGTGCTCCCTTACCTCGTTGATGTACCAGGGATGGGACGTCCCGTGTCCACCAGAACACACCAGCAGTAGCCTGTGGAAGGATGGCACTGCACCGGTTTGTAGAGGCCGCCCTGAGCACACTCTGGAATGAACACGTTGTCTTTCTGGGGCTGCTTAGCTTCCTCCAGGGCTGACTGAAGTTCTTGATCACACGATGATGCTTTTAGAAGGAAAAGAAAAAATACTGAAGCAGATGCTATACGGAAAGGGCCTAGTAGACTGATCAAACGTTTCTTTATATCGTTCTTTGATCGCATATAAGGATTGTATTCAAAGAGACTACAGCTCAAATACCAGCTACATTGCTTTATGCTGTATACTGCTAGGAACTTTAGTTTCCTTTTCATGCAACTGCTTCATAATACAGTCCAAGTAATATCTTGACACCTGCTAGATATAATCAATGGATAATCAAATACTTTCTCTGCTACCTTAAAAAAAATCCTCACCCACTCTACAATCACTAAATTACAGATTCTTCTCAGAGGGAAGAGTAAAAATCCGACATCTTATGATGCCTTATATTAATTGTTCATCCTGATATCATTTAAATATTCATATTCTGCTCTTTATTGCCAGTTTTAGAATAACATCTTAATACTGTGAAAATTCTTCCCCCTTCTTTTCTGGTTATTCTGAAATTGGAAATGTGTAATTTGTTCTGGATACCACAGACCCACACAATAAAGTAATACATTTTTATCTCTGCATTAACATTGTGTCCCAAATCTCATCTGGATGTGAGAAAAGCTGACGTCTATACATTTGTAGACTTTAAATGCAAGTGTGAACTAGGGGGCAATGAGCAGAAAGCTCAGGGCCTGAACATTCCAGGCAGTTCACCAAAAAAACAGTAAAAAAACACATCTGCTGCGGGGTTTTTATCACCACTAAGCTGGTATATGGGGCACTGTAGAGATAATAAATGAGGCAGACTATTTACTCAAGCCATTATTTCTTCAGGAACTTTGAAGTCAGTCTTCTATCATGGGAAATTTAGGTGGTTAATAGAACAGTTTCTGTATAATTCTCAAACTAATCCAGTGAAAAAAAAAGTAAATATTTGAAAACCAAGAATGTTCAAAACAATATGCACTCTAAAAACATACAAATTGCTGATAGCAAAATTCCAAGTTACTAGAATTTCAATCAATAAAAGATTATCTTCATTTAAAGAAAAAACAGTCTAATGTTACAAAAATAACCCAAACCAACCAACACCATAAAAAAAAATTAATTAAAAAACAAAAACAAAAACAAGAACAACCCAACAACAAAACTGTGGGCAATATTTGATCTTCTTTCAAGTCAGTTAAAGACTAGTGACACACTTATCTGAATCGCTAACAGGATTCACCTCTTGATTTTTCACAGTTCTAACCACAGAAGAACAAGCTGAATCCTGACTGGATTTTCTACTGCGTTTGTAATGAGATTCAGCTTCAGTCTAATCTCATTTACTCTTATCCACAGGGTTCAGAAAATATTTTGCAAATTGTAGGCAAGTCACCAGTTATGTCCAGCTCCTTGCCAGCCTCTTGGAAATGCAGATGACCAGAATTCGTATGACTTCCATTACAGGGGAAAAAGTTAAACACCTCCACATTATAAACAGCACTTGGTCCCATCTATACAACAGCCTAGTTTCCCAAATTGTGTATTTTGTTCCTCTCCATGGACAAGGTTTGAAAAATAAGCATATCACTTGCTAACTTGATTACAAGACACAGGGTGTTTTTTTCAATTCTTTGGTTGATTTTTTTTTTTCCTCTTTTGTTTCATACAATATCTGAGCAGGACAGCTAGATAAATTGATTGATTTTGCATGTTTTTGTCTTGGTCTACCCACTGACATAATCAGAGATTGAATAGCTCTCAAAGCACCAGTGTTTAGATACTAAAATGGATTGGAGAATCACGATAGCAAGGACAGAAAGGCTCCTCTAAAAAGGGAAAATAGCTAATTATTTGCATGTTGAAACCTTTGCAGAAATAGATATGGTTTCACAAATTGGAAATCCATCCTTTTAGAGTAGCCAAAATAAATCTTTCCCCCAGTGAATCTCTATTATGATGATAATCAAGTTACAAGGTACAACTACCCTGGAAAGCACATCACTTAGCTTAGTTGGTTCACTTTTTATGTTTTGCATATAATCAAGGAAAAAGGAGCAAATGGGGTGAAGCAGCTGCAGTAAGAGGGAGGAAATCATCACTCCTCTTTAAAGTCCAATAAATTATTTTCTTGTTCATACTGATAAACCTTGAGACCATTCCATTAGCTACTGTGACCTTCTCTCATTTTACATTCTTGTAACTAGCAATATAATCTGGCAGATTTGCAGATATTATCTCTCACAGACCCACAGGAGTGATACATTTTCATGCTCTCAGCTTTGTTTAAAAAATACAGTGGCATTCAGAGACTACACAGTCAGGTCATAGAATCACAGAATGGTTCGGGTTGGAAGGGACCTTGAACATCACCTAATTCCATCCAGATAGACAAAGTGTAACAGCCCAGAGAGGGTGTGATGGAGAATTCCCAATGCAGATACGCACTGTTCCAGCTGTGAGCATAAGGTTCAACATCTTGTTTCTGGACAGCTGCATTTTCCACTGATTGAAACTACCAGCAAAGGACTGCACTGCTGGCTTGAAACCACTGGAGTCATGGGCCAGTGCAGTCACCTGACTGATTTAGGAGCAGGTGAAACAGACCTAGCTAAACGGTCTTTACTGTTTATGAGCTATCATAAGAGGTGTGAGCTATACAGCTAAGGAGCTCTGAGGCAATATGTATAGTGACTGCTCAGAAGACTAATTTCTGCAGTCTACTGCTTTTGTATATTTTTACATGGCCATTTGTGCCACTATTACTACTTCCCTGTTTGTTTTCCCTACTGTTTCTACACAAAGTAAATTAAAACTGTGCTTACCTATAATTCTGCCTGCTTTTCCCACAACCAGAATATTAGTCCTCTGTGTAATTTCCTCTCTGAGGGAACCATTCATTCCCTTTCAAAGTCTACTTTCAATTATTTACAACAGGAGTACTGGAAAGTTGAAATTGTAGCCTGTGATGACTAAGAACTCTTATCACAGAGCTACCATACTGCTGCAAATAATTGCCTTTGTAAAGTCAGAAGAGTTATGGTTAACAAATATTAATCTGCCAGGAGAACCAATGATAAATTTAATTAATTTAGAAAATGCCTGATAGTTCGTCCAAACAATCTGACAACAACTATGATCTGGAACCATAACAGATGGATGCCAGAAGATCATATAGTGAACAGTACGGAAAAATATCTATGCCACAATAAAAGTAGGATAAATATTTTAATCATTACAATACATCAAACATTCTTCAGAATGTGTTACTACAAAAATATTCTTTCTGGAAAGAGAAAAACACTGACATTCCGGATTCATATTTTCAGGGAATATGCTTACATTGTTATTCTTTCACTTAGTTCCTTCAGTTTTATCTTGCTGGAAAAACTAGATGCTTTTCCAAGTATTGTAGTTCAAAAAACTCGTTAGACATGGCTGAAAAATCATTTTCACATAGTCTATCATGTTAGTGAGCTACATTGTAGCTCAGTGGGCATCTAAGACTGAAAACACTTCTTGCAGTTTCTACCCAAAACTATATGTTATTCCAGGTTCAGAAGCATTAGGGATTTGACACACAAATTTCAATCATGTAAGGAAACAGGTATGATTTGCCAAGTTTTACAACAACCTTGTACAACCCAATGTCTATTTATTTACTCTGAAAAAGAACTTATTCAATTAGTTTAAAACCTTGCTTTAAAGGGAATGCCTGTTGCTCTTTCTATGGCATATTGCTACTCCATTTCTTCCCTTTCAAACTGAAATGTCACTAAATATTCATTTCCTGTTTTGGCTCAAGATGTCTTCATAGTTCATTACAAATAAGCAGCTGAAACACTGCATCTTCTGACAATGCAAATGATACTCCAGTTAATTACAATCTCTGTGGATAAATTTCATGTTTTGTATAAAATCTTCATTCAGTTCCTGTTGCTAACGATGAAATCTCCCTAAACGAACCATCTGCATTTCAAGGAATCAAGCTAATTTACATGAAGATCAAAATACCTCAATAGTAAAGTGTAACACTTACTATAAAGTGTTATAAGTTTAAAATGTATTTATTATAAATAAATCCTTAGTTAGGAAAGACTCCATTTATTCACTTCTGATGGGTTTTGTAAACTGTTCATTAATGTTTACTAGGGGATGTCCTAGAGGAGGAAGGAGGTGGCTTTTCTGGAAAAGTCATCTTGAACAAGTAGTGTAACTGTGTGTCTGTCTGTAGCACATTTAACACTGAGCACTACATTATGTAAGTTATCACAATCATCTTGTTGGTCCTGTAATAGGAGATATTTTAGACCCTTGTTTCAGAAGTTCTGGCAGCTGTTTTGCTGAGTCTTACCACAGCTTCGCCCAACATGTGGAATTTTCATGATTTTTTTTATTCTTAAATGCGAATCACTGTGTTTATGTCTAAATTTCACTGTGTTCTACAGAAACAAGTTGCCAAATCTGCAGAAAATTACAAAGGCGTCTATACGCTACTTTAACATTTCCTGCCACTATATCAACATTTCCTTTCAATTTCCTCAGCCCCACTATGTGTATATGACAAACAGAATCCATTCCAAGAAATTCTCTTTTCAGTTGGTTCCTTCTCCCTCCTTTTTTCATTACCATAATGGGCCATGAAAGGACAATTCAGACAGCCTCATTTCCACAGTAAAGGGATCTTTTCTAAGGCCTTGAAGCTCAATGTCATCTATAGAAAGCAGGTAACAAGAAACCTGTAACCAAAAATACTTCGAAATGTGATATGCATGCTCTGAAAGAGTGCAGTGTAAAACTAGAGACAGTTAATATTGCAGTTCTTCCATGTTTCTTAGAGGGTATGCAGAATATATTAATGTCCAACTTTCAGTATAGAAAGACTTATATTGTAAGACAATTTATGCAAATTATAATAACATGCAAATCATCTGGCTGTTCTAATTAAGCCTCATTTAGGCACCCTTTCAGAGCACTTAAAATATTGATTTACACAAGTTCTGTGCTAGTTCATTTCAAAACTATAATAATTAAGATGAATAGTCA